TCAAAAGTTAAGACTTTAATGGCTTTTTTTTAAGCAAAAAAATATCTTATATGTAAATATATTACTTTATTGAGGTGCTTTCAACATTGGGTATTTAAGTTATAGTATATTTGATATCCTAAGGGCAAGGGTCTTTTTGCATTTTTGCAAGGTATGCTTGAAATTTCTTCTAAAGAACAAAGGTATTTATGTTATTAAAATACCAGGTCCACTTCATAAACACCCTTGTCCCTTAACGGTATTATGGGTTATACCCATATGTAATGACAAAAATGCCCCCATAAAGTAATTTATCCACAAATAACAAGGATTTCTCTTCATAAAATTCACATCATTTTATTCACAACCTATACTGTTAGGAGGTTGTCAAGTCTGAACAAACAATATATTTATAAGGTCCAGTTGGTTGATGCTGGGCTCACTTTGGAGGGTGAGGCTGTGAGCCTGTGACCTTCCACACTGTGTATGTAGGATGGAGTGCTAGTGATGGACAATCTGTCAAAAAGCCAAACAAAGGAATTCCGTTTTTGACTTCCACCCAATCACACCATCTACACTGTTTATTAAAAGTGGCTAATGCAGATGACTGCAAATGCCCCCTTTTGGAACAGATCTCAACCACCAAAACATATACATATGGGATTTCTACTTTACACACCCTGCAAAACTGACAGGTGAATGTCGGTGTGGGGTGTGTGACATTTTACAGAAGGAAAAAATTTCTATTGACCAATTGTTCAATGCCTGTCTAGTTTGTCCCCACAGTTCATTTTCTATGGATGACTGAGATTTTGTGTTGTGAAGTGAATGAAATGGACATGAATTCTCAGCCGTTCATGCAAAATGGTCAGCTTTGGACCAACTAGTAAACACCATACACATGGAACAAATAGTTCCTAGAAAATTGTTCCTTTACAAAAGAACATATTGTCGACTTATGTTGAGTGATGTTGCTGTCAATCCCATAGGACATAGGTTTTCTTTTGCAGCCCCACCTCAAGCTTACACATGGAACAAATAGTCCCTAGAAAATTGTTCCTTTAAAACAGAACATATTGTCGACTTATGTTGAGTGATGTTGCTGTTAATCCCATAGGACATAGGTTTTCTTTTGCAGCCCCACCTTAACCATCCTTTCTAGAGATGGAAACTGACCAGCTAAGCCAAAGATTAGGCTTCTATTGTCGACGTATTTGAATTCGTTATCCTTTTAAGCCTTGCTGCTGATGTGCCACTTTATTCTGGTCATAGCCTTGATTAAGACAACTCATGATGTTTGATGGAACATGGATGAGGCATGAAAAGGGGCTCATCCAATTTGAACTCTTGAATTGTAACTTGTCCTTAGGGAAATTCCAGTTCAGTTGCTGTTTCCTTGATCCAATTTGGTGAGTTTTATTTGGATGGGGAGCGAAGGAGACTGAGTTTGGCATGGCAAAGAAGTTTGACCAGGGGTCTAATGTGGCCAAGTTTGTGACCAGGAATGGGTGGACCCTATAGGTTTTGGCAGGAAGGGGTGGACCCTATGGGTGTGAGTCCCCTTGTTTTCAAGGAGTTATAAACTATTGGGAAGTCAGTGAGTTCAATATCTGTAGTTAACTTCTGACAACATGCTATGTTTCTGTGTGATGTATAATATCATGCATTTACTTGTCAAGGATATCCACTAGAATAAGGATTCTAATGATGCCACATGTCCCTAAAATTTTGATGCTTCATATTTTAGCCATGGATGACCTTTCTGTGCAGCACTGCCTTCATCCTCAGCATCACCTTGTGTCTCTGTTGCATTTTTCATCCCTTTGTGCTCTGATTTTATGAATAAACTTTACATACCCTCATATGCTTCTTGCTCTTGGTTCCTTCGAATGTGTCTTTGTGTTAAATGTGCTCATGTCTTCCTAAAGGACGGGGCCAAAATGTTTCCCAAGAAATGACATATGTACTTGATGAATATTCTGTTATTTTATCTTAATCATTTTGAAATTGTTCTGCTTCGTTGGGTAAATTTAACCGAGGATTCTCCATTTACATTCACAACCTGATTAGGTACACACTGGCTTCATCTGCAGATTGCATTTATTTGTTAGTGGTGTCAATGCAATAGGTATCCTGCCATCGAATGGAAGGCTCTTAAAAATAGGAAGAGTCAGGTGTATAGTTACTTAGATCTGAATCAGATATTTAAAATGTCTTTAGTATGCCATATTTTTATATTTGAACATCAAACTTGAAGCATTCTACTGGTTGTTTATCCATCATCTGGTTGTTTTGTATGCAGTCTAGAGGTTTAGATTCCTATAGAATTGTTGTAATTTGCTTGCGGACATCATGTCTCTAGTTGATGTACAATTTTGAGGACTGCTGGATCTCTAGATGCATTGAATTCTGGAAAGTAACAAATGGAAGGTTTATAGTAGCAACCAGCTATCGAAGAGGACAGAGTAGCTACAACTATAATATTTTTCTTGACTCTTGACTATGACTTGTGCATCGATTGATCTGTAAATATGTTGCCTCACACATGAAGCCAAAATGCTCATTGTCGTATGACACATGAGGAATATGACACAGGAATTTCCACCCCTTCGATACTATGTTTCAGTATAGCCTAGAAGCGTGGAATTTCTTGAGTTTTTCTCTTTAACATGCAGTAATTTTATCAACAAAGTGGTGGGGACCTATGTTTTGGGCCATAATCCCCAACCTATCATGCTACAGTATCACAGATTTATGAATACTTCTTTTGTTTCTCTCTATACTCATTAGAGAAATGTCAGAAATTATAGTCAACCAGTTTGTTTCACAATTTAAAATTGCAAAAAAAAAAATTGAAAATATTTCTTAGAAGCTTTTTAAATTGTATGATTGTCATTCATCATTGAAGGAAGTATTCCATCAAGTTACACCATAAAGGCGTAGACACCAGTGGACCTATGAAGGAAGAAGTGTTTGACCGTTGTGGTGTTCCCCTCCTTACAAACTGAAAAAGCCGGTTGCACTACCCTTAAAAGAGTTCTCAATTAAGCTTCCCACTTTAACAAGGGCCTGATTTACTGAGAACGCTACCATCAAATTTTGGGTTTCGGCTGCCTCTGGGGGTATTCTTCAGCTTAATTGTAAATTGTCGTATGGAGCTGAGTGGGCCTCATCCTTAGATAAACCAAACGTGCAGTTGAAGAACTAAAAGGCCTTTATTAATTTGTTAGGAGTTACACCCAAGGAACTCATAATGTACAAATTCTAACTCGAATTGTTTTCTTGCTACCCAGTTGAGCAAGATTAGCATTTCAAGGAATGAAAGATGAAAGTATCCATAACCATGATAGCTTCTGTAATGAGGGGAGTTCCTTACTTCAGCTTTTAAATATGAAGTAAGAAGAGAAAAATGAAAAATTGGTTTCATTACGTGGGTCTTATCTTTGAATTTTGGTAAATTTGGTCACTCCAAATGTGATGTTTCGTTTTGTTTTGTCATTTTGTACTTAGTTGGGATGAGGTTTGTTCATCTACCATGTCTGACGTTTTTCTGTTTCTCAACCATCATAGTATGTGACAAAAAGTTAATAACTTTGGGTTCAAAATATATTTTTCCTTTCTCTAAGAAGGTGATGAACAAATCTGCACCTTTGCAGGTATGTGGCAACGGAGCTGGCAACCGATGTCCTCATAAATGTTGGAGAATCAAAGTTTTATCTGCACAAGGTGCTCTTGTTTTCTCCTTTTTAGGCATTCACTGCGCAGCAATTCCCTCTAGTTGAAAGCAAGGATTGATGCACGTTCTTCTATTATAAAATTGGTTCTAAATATGGAAAAAAGCTAAATATTTTCAATAAAAAGAATTCAAGGTATATGGAAGGAGTGACACCCATACCATAAATATTGGCTGTCACCTCATCTCGATGAGGAGTGAGTATCATGTGACCAAAACTACAACTGTACTTTAGGCCCACAGAAAATTTATCGCTATTTTACTGTGTTTCTGCTATGGAAAATTATACTGTAATCCAATGGACTGGGATAGTCGTCACCGTCCAGTGTATGGTGAATGGTGATGGAGAAAGAGAGGGCCTATCATCTGGGTCAATTCCTGTTCTAATGAGTCCTACTTTATCACCATCTACAATTTCATTAGACAGCTGCAGCCCCAATGGTTTTACCATATTCTACTGAATAATATTATATGAAGTATAAAATAATACCGTTTTGCCTTTTGTGCAAGGTCACAATTGCTCTTGGGCATTATATGTGGAATTGGGTGTCTAGGGGTATATGCAATCGACAAAACTCAAAGTCAAATAAAAGCTTTTTTTGAATTATGTGACAAACCTGGCCGCCTAATTCCAAATCTGATAGCGAAGAGCAATTGTGACCATGTACGTAAGTCCAATATATCATCTGGTGTCGTATGTCATTATGCATTGACGTATTATATTCCCCATTTGCTATAGTTTTAATGTAAGTTGGCTGTTGGCATTATTACTGAAGGTATATAGTATGATCCATATAATCATGGTTATTCTGTCCAATCCCTGGGTTGCGGGTGATGGAGGGATATAGTGGGGTTTATATTGAATTGGTGACACATTTGGTGTGATCTATACTCATTTTCACTCCAACACCATCCAACCTATTTAAGGGGATAGTTGCAGCCCTGAAAATCATACTATTACCATGATCGTATGGATCATGCTATACTACCCTTTATTGAATGGTACCTGATAATCTCTCAAACCCTTGAATAGTGAAGAGAATAAAAACTGTATTCTTCCGAAGGGATTAAAAACTCAAGTCTTCCCATTGAAAAACAGTTCCCTCTGCTATCCAAGAGCTCCCGACTCCACAGGCTGGTGACCGACACGCCTGATGAGGTAGGCCCCGATGAGGTCCACATCCCCGACATCCCTGGGGGGCCTGCCGCCTTTGAGGTCTGCGCAAAGTTCTGTTATGGCATGGCCGTCACCCTTAATGCCTACAACGTTGCTGCTGCCCGCTGTGCTGCCGAGTACCTCGAGATGCACGAGTCGGTCGAAAAAGGAAACCTCATTTACAAGCTCGAGGTCTTCCTCAACTCTAGTGTTCTTAGAGGATGGAAAGACTCAATAATTGTTCTCCAAACCACTCGTGCACTTCTCCCTTGGTCTGAAGACCTCAAGCTTGTAGCCCGATGCATTGAGTCGATTGCCCTCAAGGCCTCAGTGGACCCCACAAGGGTTGACTGGTCATATACGTACAATCGCAAGAAGCTTGCATTGGAGAATGGGGTGGGCCCCACCACTGAGCCACAATGGAATGGGGTGAGGCGGTCCCACTCGGTCCCGAAGGATTGGTGGGTTGAGGACCTTTGTGAGCTCGAGATTGACCACTATAAGAGGGTGATAGCAGCTGTGAAGTCAAAGGGGAAAGTGGGTGCTGAGGTTGTGGGGGAGGCGCTTAGGGCGTACGCTACCCGGAGACTGCCAGGCAGGTTGATTGGCCAGACAAGTGGTGACTCAGGCAGGTTGAGGTCACTTGTCGAAACGATCGTGTGGTTATTGCCCTCTGAGAAAGGGAGTGTGGGTTGTGGGTTTCTTTTGAAGCTTTTGAGGGCAGGAAATATTGTGGGGTGTGGGGAAGGGGCAAAGAGGGAATTAATGAGGAGGGTGGGATCGCAACTTCATGAAGCATGTGTCTCTGACCTTTTGATTCCTTCGGGCTCAGATGGAGAAGATGGGGGGTTGGCTGTTTATGATATGGACCTTGCTCAGGGGTTGGTCGAAGAGTTTATGGGGCGGCAAGAAGAGCGGTGTGATAGATCGGGCCCTCTTGATGAAATGGTTGAGAGTGGTGTGCTGAGTGCTTCATCTCCTTCATCGTATGGTGCAAAGGTTGCGGTGGGAAAGTTAGTTGATGGGTACTTGGCTGAGGTGTCGAGGGACCCCAACTTATCCTTGTCTAAGTTTGTTGAGCTAGCAGAGATGGTTTCAGACCCTGCTGCAAGGCCTGTTCATGATGGGCTATACCGGGCTATTGACATGTATCTTAAGGTTAGTCTTCATGTCTCTCTTTTTCTTTTTGATACATATATATTAAGTTTTTGAACGATTCAGTTCTTCTCCACTCCATATATCCGCATGCAGCAATGTTTAAGAGCTCTGATTGGCCTGTCCTGAGCTTGGTTGGGCATTATCTGAGCAAGATTTGGATATTCTTTGAGCTATTATGGTCTTGCTTTAAATTCGTGGATACTGCACGTTGAAATCATTGAGGATCTTCGTATTTTTATGGAAAATTCAATAGCTTGACCTCCTCAGGCTTTCTCATAAATAACCAAGTACCCAGTCTTTTCAAACTGACAGGATTTGTCAACCATGTGTCATTAGCACTTATAACTGGCCAGTTATATGCATTCCTATGCTTAACACTTTATGAGCTATTTCTTGAATAAAAGGCCTTTTAGCTTTTGTGCCATTTGGCTATCCACCAGAAATGGCAGAATTTGACAGGGTGAATTTGATTCTTTCATTTAAAGAAAAGATGTTATATTTTCAAGTCAAGTTTACTATAGACCCATGCTGGCTCTATGGTAACAAGTATCTACAACAATCAATCCCAATGGATGATGAGAGAATGTAGACTTACCTTGTCGGTCATGTCACGTTGTAATGGGTACCACTCTCTCCTTTACCATTGATGCATTGATTAAACCATATCACTTATAAGCAACTTCTTGTAGTGGGTCTCCCCACCATTGATGCACTGATTGGATTGTGATATCACTTAGAAGCACATACTTTCTTAGGTCATTTGAAGAATAGGACTCTTGCCTTTTATTTAAGGTCAGAACTAGTTAAGATAAAAAGGAAAAACTTACAGCGATACATTGTAGTTTAAAAGCAGTACATTACATGTGGACGTGAGCCATTCCCTATTCAACATACACATTGTCCGAGGAAATGTTCATGTCAACCATTTGTTGGCAGTGGGTGGTCGATACTACTTTATCATTTATATGATGCCTTTTTTGGGTGAAAGTATATTCCAATTGACTATAGAAAACCATGGTCCATTAAGGTCATTACTCTCCAACAATTTGATCAATGGTGATTGAAACAGAGAGGGGCACACCGGGCCACAGTGTAATCCCACTGTTTTCTCCCACTTTCAAATGTCCATGACTTTCCACGATTTCATGAGATGTTGATGGCTACATTGAACTATGGCTTTCCCAGAGTCCACCTGTTATATCGTGCTGAAAAATATATAAAAAATCATAAACAAGGTATGAAAAGGAAATCAATCATCACTCCTTACCATTCTAGAAGATAAGCTACCAAGAAAAAAGAACACATAACTAATAGTTTGGGTTTCAAATGCAGGAGCACACAGGGCTGAGCAAGGGCGAGAAGAAGAGAATATGCGGCCTCATGGACTGCCGAAAGCTGTCAATGGATGCATGCATGCATGCTGCCCAGAATGAGCGCCTCCCCCTCCGGGTTGTCGTCCAGGTCCTCTTCTTTGAGCAGGTCCGTTCTGCAACCAGCTCATCGACTGTGCAGGCAGACATGTTGCCTGAGCTTCCGGGAAGTATCCGAGCCCTCCTGCCTGCAGCACGTGGGAGCCACAATTGTGGGTCACATGGGAGCTCAAGGACCACAAACACTGAAGATGAATGGGAGTGCAGTGGCGGTGGGGGGCCGGCTTACAGTGGTGGACCCACGGCAGAGGAGATTAGGGCACTTAAAAGTGAGCTTGCGGCTCTTAGAGTGGGGGGCAAAAGTGGAAATTGTAATATGGAGAAGGAGAGTAGGCTTAAAGGGATATTGAGGACAAGGAAGATATTCAGTAAGATCTGGGGGGCGAATGCAAAGGGAGGGAAGGATGGCGGGGAGAACACAAGCTCAGACACATCAGAGAGCCCAGGGTCAGGGAACCCTGGGGATGCAAAATCTACGCTATCAAGGAACAGGAGGCACTCGATATCATGAGGGGTATTTCCGTCTGTCTTTTGGATGAAGGAGAGGGAATGGGAGGTGTTGGGTGTTGAGGAGGGGTATTTTGGTCTTTTTAGAGGAGGGGATGGGACGCAGTTTTGAGAGGGGGCCAACATGGAATGATTTGAATGTGATGTATTCCTTGGTTGTTGCTGGAATGCGATGCAATGAATGAATGACCTTTGCTTTTTGTTCGATCTCTTTTTATTTCTTAGTCGTATTCAATGAGTTTACAATTTAAGAGTGTTTGGCCCATTCTGATCTGTTTCGAACATGTATGTGGTTCGGATTTTTTGGTGCTGGGTTTAGACAGAGGGAGGATTACGCTTGCACAGATGAATCTCTTGCAAAACGGAACTTGTTAGAATATATCATTTTGGGCAAGTGCTGAATCAGACCCTTGCTCCTTAATAGTAAAAATACGTTTTAGGGTCAGTCTCTTAGAGAGAGGGGGTGAGGTGACAGTGAATTACCAATAAACAATAACTTGCTACCTTACTTTGAAGATTATGTTCCATTGTTTTAGAGAGGGGAAGCCTTGTGGCGAATTGGGCTCTGTCAGAGATCATTACCCTCTAATGAAGAGATGTTTTGTAGGGTTTTGCAGATTATAGTTTCGCTGAATCAGGGGAGCTCAGATAAAGCTGTAATTAGTACCTTCCATTGAAGGATGACATTTTCATTGAAAGAAAAAGGTCCACTGGGTTTGAATATCATAAAAAGCAGTATCTGTATCCTAAACCAATTGGAGAGCAGAGATAATATTGAAGAACTTAATGCAAGTGCTCTTCTGGGTGGCTTTAGAGATTTGTATGGGGGGGGGGGATGGTCCCTGAGGAGTGCAGAGGTCGGTACTTTCTAATAATGAGATGTCCAAAATTTTAGAGAGAGAGAGTGGGATGGGGAGAAGATTGAATCTCCAATAAAGTAGGATTGCGGCATTCTAGATTTCTCAGAGAACACAACATGCTGAAGTCTTCTGCTTCTGTGATTGAGAGAGAGAGAGAGAGAGAGTAATGGGGACACGAATCAACAGGTACAAGGTCCTTCACAGATTCACTAAGATTTCTAACATGGTGAAGTCTTTTGCTTCTGTGATTGAGAGAGAGAGAGAGAGAGTAATGGGGACATGAATCACCAGGGATGAGGTACTCACAGATTCACTAAGATTTCTACTTCTTAGAGAGAGAGAAACAGAGAGAGAGAGAGAGAGAGGGGTGAGACTAAAGAGTGTGAATCGCAGATATCGGTTTTGGGTGCTACTTTTTAGATTTTCTACATAGTATAAGCGCAATGGAATCGATCCTCTTTTCTGTACAGAACAAGAAACCAGCTCCCTACCTATTTTGGACTACACATAATTCCTTCTTTTTTCCCTAACCTAATCTCTTTTTTTGGATCGTTTCTCTAATCTAATCTAAATAGTGAAAAATAATACAAATCTGAGAATATTTCCTCCAGAATAGCTCTTTTGAATTTGACCACATACGTCTGCAACCAGAATGAGAACCAAAAAATTTGCAAGAAACGATCATATTCTCAGAATATTTTCTTTTGGAAAAGGAATCTCCTTTGAATTTCATCATATATTCCATGATTGATTATGGTCATATGCAAGTGGGAAAACTTACCCCTGGATATGAAATCCCCTTCCTAAATTGCTTATTATTTGTCATGTTGCTTTTCTCCAGATGCAAGTTATAACTAACTCTAAAAAGCTCAACTGCAAAACTTTAACAGTCTCCCTTTTCTCTCTCTCTATCAACTACCTCTCTCTTCTCTCTCCAACAACCCACTTAGCGTGAAAACAGGCCAGAAAAACCTAATCACTAGGGTTCACAGAGGAGAGGAAGCAATCCATTTGGCATGAATCTAGAGAAACCTAAATTACTTTCAACAATCCATTCCTGATGCTCCCCCGCGATAAAAGTAATATAAAAGTTCAAGCAAGAATGCATTATATCCTAATCGTTGAGGAAGAGAATATTTGGAATTTATTTAGTGGGTTAGTACTAAAGTGGAAATGCGAATGAACTATTATTCCTAAAAGATGGGGCACTTTGAATTTAATGAAACGCATTAAAGCTTAAAGCAAAGTTGCATTCTAATAATTAATGGAGTGACTTTGGAATAACATATGTCGAGGGTTTGTTTGGGCGACATATAGAGGTTTCAGGCTTTATGAAAAGAAAATAAAGCCTTACCTCAAATCCTCGTCCAAAATGCGCTTTCTGTGACAGAAATTTACATGGTGGCATTAAAATCATTTTCCAACGTCGACAATATAACGTCTAAAAATTTTCTTACAAAAACCCTTTTTTTTTTTACAACCATAATGTTTTAAGCTAAGATGAAAAAACTTTTTCTATTGCTTGAATTGCAATTTTCCATAAGTTACCAAGTGAGGCTTTATTTATTTTAGAGGTGCGGTTATTTATTTTAAAGGTGCCGTTATTTATTTTAAAGGTGCGGTTTGTATAGCACCTAGGCTCTAGAGAATCGAATTACAGCCTAACCTATTTTCAAATAGTATCAAGAGATATGGTTTCAATACTAGAAATCTTTGTGAGAGCCTAGTGTAGATCGATCCTTATAAACTTGAAAATCTTTATGAGAGCCTTAGTGTAGATCGATCCTTATAAACTTGAAAATTAACGGCTCAAAAATTCATTACAATATATACATCTATTTTTTTCTCATATCCATGCATCTTCATCAATATGTTCATTTTGTCGATATTTGAGCATCAAAACAACTTCTAATGAAATTTTTGGGTAGACTAATTTGATATTTTAATATAAACTTTTTTCTTATTTTAATAGGGCTGCAGCATCTATCAAACCATTTTCCTTATTTTTTCTTAAATGAATTGTGAGAGAGAGAGAAATGATGATCTACTCAGAAAAGTGTTGGTTAGGAGAGAGAGAGAGAGAGCCACTCCCATGCTTTCCACAATACCCACCAAACCCCGGAAAGGAAGCTCGCACAGACCATAACGACCCACTCACGAAACCCTTGTGTGCCCTCAACAAGGAAAACACCCAATCCTGACCTGAACTTACAGGCCCCAACAGTTAGAGAGAGAAGAGAGAGAGAGAGAGAGGGGAGAGAGAAAGTTATTTTAGAGAGAGAGAGTGGGGGAGGTAACAAGTACCATTCACAAAAAGGCTACAAACAAAACATGAGTTCCATCCGGCTCGATTCTGCAAACGTTACAACAGAATGGAAACCGGACACCACACCCAAAAAGAAATTCAAGAGAAAACAAAATTACATTGCCCCAAAAAAGGGAGAGCTCGTCTTTCTCTCTCCTCCCTCCCTTCCTCTTTTTCATCATCCATCCACACTTAAAATCCCAAAGTAACAAACTAACAAACATAAGACCTCTCTCCTCTCAACTACACAACAAAGGGAGAGAAGCCCCAAAAGTTGCATGGTTTCGGGTCTTCTCTCACTAGAAAAGCCCGAAGCATATATATAGAGAGAAATCCCAGTTGGATTTTTTAACGCCGTACATAAAGTAAGAGAGAGAGTGACCGACCCGAGTGAAGTGGGTTCTCTCTCTCTCACTAGAAATCCCGAGGGTCCACGAAGATAGAGGCCCCTGGCGCGGACTTGGTCCAATCCCCAACACTCCCGTCGCTGTAATCCTCACCCAGCCTCTTCACACACCACAAGTCCTCTTCGCACGAGAAGCGAGCCCAGTGAGGAACCCCGGCTCGAAGAGGCTCGAGCACACCCACCTCCGTCGCGACCACACCGCACCCACCCTTCCTAGCCATGTTATGGGCCATCTTACAGAGGGCCCGAATCAGCCTCACTTTCGCAGTCCCCTCACCACCAAGCCCGTACAAAAAGTAGAGCCCAAAGGGCCTGAACACCTCAGGAACCGAAGGTATCATGAGCCACGGAAAAAGCCTGTCAAAAACCCGACTCATTTTCGCACACATTTTCTTCAGCTTCGAAGCGCCACGAACTTGGAGCCTGAAAACGTCTTTGCTGTTCCATACGCTGAGCACGGCCCACGACTCAGGTGGTAGAGAGAGAAAGGACTCCATGTTCGCGAAGTTGGTGTCACTCGGTAGAGCGAGAAAGGTGCCAAGATTGAGCTTGTTCTGAAGAACCGAGTCTATGTCACGAGGGAAGAACTCGGTCGTGGAGAGGAGGCGGCGGTAGAGGGACTCGGCCTCGAGGGGGGGGAGAGAGAGGATTTGGACGTTTTTAGAGAGGGAAAGGTCGTGGTGAGGGTGGACAGGGTGGACGAGGATTGACGGGGTGCGGAAGTTCTGGTAGGAGAGGCGACGGGTGAAGAGCGAGAGGGAGGGGGAGTTGTCCGAGTCGGTGGCCATGTACGCGTACTCGGCGCCCATAGATGCGAACCACGACTCGAGGCGGCGGACGAGTCTTAGGCCGATACCCATACGCCTGCGTAGAGAGAAGTTGAATTTATGGGTTTTCCATAGTCGAAGAGAAAAATAAAGGTAAAAGAGAGAGGGATGAAATGAAGTGGCATTTCAAATCCCGGCCATGAAAGAGGAGAGAGAAAACACCTGTGCGGCAGAGAGACACGGAGGCCGAGAATGTAGGCGGCTTTTGTATAGACGGGAACGGCTGCTTTCGTCGTTGTCGGATCGTCGGTGGCGTTTCTGGCGCTTCTGGGCAGCTTTTTACCGCATGTAACCGTCTTTATGCAACCCCTTATCACCCCCACTATTTCTCTCTCCTCCCCTAACTCCGCCACCTAGTGAGAGAAAACCCACACACCGTCAATAACCATATCCATCCACACAACACAACACTACACTGAGAAAAGACAACCACCCAAAATAAATATAATTAGTTAGTTTTAGAGAGAGAGAGAGAGAGAGAAACAAGTTACGTACGAGCATGAGATAAGCAGGGGAATGGCGGACTCGGCAAATGGGGTCGCCCATCAGGTCAGTATACAGAGACATCTTTCCACTTGGCCCTACCTCACATTCTCGCTCTACCCTCTCCACCGCTTCACAGTCCCTTTCTGCGTCGAACTCTCTCACCATTAAGACACCCCCTTCTTCCCCCATCTATCTCTATCTCTATCTCTCTCTCTCTCTCTCTCTCTCTCACTGCATAACAAGAACCACCCACTGCAAAACTCCCCTGAGCTATTTATAGTGGAGGAGATGATGGGGTTTAGAGAGAGACAGAGAGAGGGAGCCTGTGGTTTAAGACCGCGCCCTTTTTCAGGCTCTTCATCGCTGGATCACGTGTGAAGCAAGGCAAGCTTCGAACTTTTAGAGAGAGAAAGTCCCCACCCTAGAGAGAGAAGCTTCAAAATAAAAACCCGAACCCACTGTACACTCTCTCTCTCTAACTTTCTTCAATGGAGTGCATCATCATTGGAGGATGCAAGCCCTTAAATATCAGTTTCCATCCCACTTCTTCCCTCTTTTCTCTCTCTACAATCCTTCTCTTTCTCTCTCTCTAAAAACTCGCTCGCTCGCTCGCTCGCTCGCTCTGATGGAATAATTATCACCAAAAGTGCGCTAGCGGAAAATGGCGGCTGTGGCTGCGCAGTCTTGTTAATTAATCATTGATTACGGATGTGGTCTTGCCATCATGATGAGTTACCATCATCACCAGACGATGACGCCATCACCATCGATCTTCACTGTCCCCCCTCTCTCCCTCCAAATCCATGTGCATGTCATGCATTAATTCACCATCATACCCATCCATGCATGCGTGGATGGTCCCACTCGCCCACTAACCGCCGCCGGATCGTGGCGAGATCGGTGCCGTCTATCGCCCACCGGTTCCGATGGGGACAGCTGTCATGGCGAAAAGGCCTGGACACGTGGCAAAACGTCGGGGGATCTTGAAACGTGGCCGCTCGATAGGGCTTCGGCGCTACGGCGAATAGGCTCCGTATCTCCTGGATAATCATTATTTTAATTAATTAACGTGGTTAGTCATTAAACGCTTTTTATAGATAAAGAAAGCAAAGCATTTCTTAGATTTTAGGGTGGGTGTTGCTACTAAAGATAGGGTATTAGTAGTATAATTTTTAGTTGTTGTTTTAAGAAGTTCAAACTTTTCGTTAACCCATCCCTATGACAGAAGAGGTGGGTTATGTTAAGTAGACAGCAAATGTTAAAATTTGACATTTTATAAATAGTAAACGTCATCATGTTAAGGCATTCCATCCGAAATCTACATCATCAATTCATGTTAAGGCGTTTTTTGTAAACAAGGTGCTGAGCTATGGTCTTTACTCTTAATAATGGTATGGCCCTTGTTAGATGTTAAGCCGTTTTTTATAAGCAAAATGTTGATCTATGGTCAATTTAAGGTTTTAATAATAATACGATTTTTGATAAAATAAAATGGTGAAATAAAACTTGTATAACCAACTCCAATTAATGAAAGTAAAGTTTTAATGATGACTATAATAAGGATACGCTGTATAATTAGTTGTCTTAAACTTTTTTTTTTTGTCATTTACTGTTTAACAACAGTTTTATTAATTTTGGGGGCTGCTATAATAAATGGTACCGTTATTTTTGGCTTTTAACTTTCACAATCATTGGCATGGATTTTACTTGATTACCCTCGGTTTATTTATTTATTTTTATTTTTCTTTTTCGTCCTTATCTCTTTTGACCTTTTTAGCGAACATTTGCTTGTCATTAATAAGGAGTTTTTGTGTTCCTATTTGCGTGAAAGTGGTATTTTTGTGGGCTTTTAATGACAAGGACGGAAATAGAAAAAATCTGTTGAAAATGACTTGCCCTATAGTTCGTGGTCCTTTACGAATGGTAAAAAAAGTTTTTGTAATTTATTTATTTCTCGATTGAATTTGAATAAAGAGAAATGGGGCGAGCATCATTTTCCAAGAAGTTAAGGGGTGGTTTGGGGATGGAAGGGTGCCCTTTCATTATATAGGCCAAAAAATATTATACTCATGCGGGAGTACCTGTTTATTTACTCCTTCGGGTAAAACCCCATCTAGGATTAAATTTAGGACCCAAAATTTTAGGGAGTGTAGCCTCTTCAACCTGACTAACACAAATAAAAAAAAAAGAAAAGTAATTGTACCATCTATGTATTTGAAAAAAATAATGTTACAACCCTCCCAACTAGGAAATAGAACTAAACTATGCTCATGAGGGAGCATAGTATAGGTGCTCTAAATATAAAGAAGATGGTTATTATAAAGTTCTAGGCTTGTCATTACTTATTTATTTCATGGGCTCTCTCTCTTTTTGTGTAGATGACACTAAGATTGTGTACTTAATTGACTTGAACAAAATATATAAGAATACAAATTATAACATAACAAGTAAAGCATAAAGCACAAACACTACAAGACATTTCAAAAACAAAAAAGAAAAGAAAAGAAAAAAAGAACAGACTTAAAAAAAAAAAAACAAAAGCACACACAATTAAGTACACAATCTTAGTGTGATCTACAATTGGAATAGAGTTGTCTCATTTATTTTCAACAAAACCCAATCGAGCAACTCTTTTAAACCTACTCTTCCGATAGATATAACCTGCCAATCTTTTATTTATGTTTCCCAGCTAAACTACTGTCCAGGAAGATAACCTTGGGAACGACAAAGATACTCACTAAAAGTGGAAACCACTCAAAATTTCTATGGAAATTGCTTTTCTACAATAAACCAATCTCTCACTTTGTAAGAGTGACTATTGTAGTGTTTCTCTCCATAAAAAGCTCATTTATCTCTAAAAAGAAGCATTGTTTCTCATGCACATAGAGCCCCTACCTCTTTTTATTTAGCAGAAGGTACCTTTCCCATGTAGTCGCCCTAAATAGGGCACACTTGTTATGTCCTCTTTCACTCCTTATATATAATGTTATGAATCCTAAACTAGATAAGAATCCTATAAATATCACAAATATCTCAAACTTAAGATATAAAGGCGCCTTTCATACATGATGAGCCCGAATAGGGTGCACTCAGTATGTTCTCTCTCATTCCTTCTTGTTAAGGGAAGGTTCTAAAAATACCAATCCGAAAAAGAATTGCGCGATTCGGATAAGGAATTGGTGAGACACATCCAGTTCCCATCATATATCAAGGATTGGCTAGTTCTTATTAGGAATCGGCCAGTTCTTTAATAGAGCTGAGCAATTCGGCCACTCCTTTTATGTTTTATTATTTTTTTTATTTTTTTATTTTGTTATCTGCCTCTTTTTATTTATTCATTGATTCACTCGGTCGGATCGCTGATCTACACCACTGAGCCAGACTAGTTTTCCATATGGGTGATCCACATCATTGATTTATTTTTTAAAACATTAATATAAAATTACGAATCCCATATCATATAGAAATCCAATAGATGCTACATTTACCTCAAACCTAATATATAAACAAGATCCCTAATACTTCAATAGATATCCCAACTTATGAGTCATGATCAACATTAAAGGCTTTTTTCAACTAATTGGATCAATTATGCAAATCCTTATGCAAATCCTGATCCGCCATTTTCTTCTATTAAAGATATATCCAACTTATGAGTATCAATCCTTATATAAGATGGGATTTCACCATGTCCAAAAGTCTAAAGGACGTTTTTCTTTTTTTATTTAGTTTTGGTTCCAAGGTATCTCTTTGGGGAAAGGAAACCATCATTTAATTCATCGTCATCATTTTCCTTATGGTGGTATTATCATGTCATTCTCATATAACATAAAGTTCCCTTGTGAGGGTGGTTTTGGATATCACCACAACCAGTTTTCATTACGGGTGGTTTTGATTCATTGTCATTGTTGTCAATTTTTTAATGTGATTCATTGTAATTATTCTCACCATAGTGGGCATTATTCTCATTCTTCCATGGAACCTGAGATGGTATATTCATTTTCTTAAGTATGACAGGCTCAACATTCTTCTCGCCATTATATTTTTATTCTAAAAAATAATGAGATATTTCTGAGCTTAATGCACCCCATTGATTATTTAAACTCTATCTAGCATATAGGGTTCTCAATGCTCTTCTATGGATTATTTACTATCTCTGTCCGTATTAGTTATCTATGAAATATTTTCGGATTAGAATAATAGAATAAATAAGGGCATCTTATAATGTAGAAGGAAGGTGTACCTTTAAATTTTGCCAATATATGTAGTTTCAAGCCTGAAAACCTTATGGTGGTTTGAAAATCTATTTTTATCGCTAGTTATTATTTAAAATTTTAAAAATGGCATAGTTCGAACATATCTATAAACATTAGGAAAATCTTGAAATTAAACGGTCATGATAACTTGTTACAAGATGCACTATTTATAGAACTAAAGTTATTTTTGCTTTATGAGATGATGAGTTGGAAGTTTTCTAACAACATAGCACTCTCTTTAATCGGAGTTTTAATATGCACTTTACTTCAATAGTTTAAGATGGACACTTTTTATGAACGTTTTTTTTTAAATGATAGGAGCGGACATGCCTATTTTCCATGTTAAAAAACAAAAAGGTGGGGAAGCCATTCCAAGAACAATTCACCCTAAAATCATGATTTTAGGAGTTTTAATTGTATAAAAATATTGTATTTATATTTGTTTGATAATAAAATATCTTATTGAAAAATTTTAACAACCAATATTAAGAAGTTTAATTTTATTATTATTATTTTTTATTTTTAATGACCGAGTCAACCTAGCCAATCGGCCAGACTCACACTGCTGGCCGGACAATTTAACCTATTGGTGCACTTTTTTAGAAAATGACTTAGGGGAATGTACACTAAGCTACATGTACTGCACTATTTGTACACTAAGGGCCTGCTTGAATACGAAAGGAGCTGGGGTCATGGTGATAGTACCTACACACCTAGTTACCACGCTATGGTTTCCATTCTTATCAGTAACACCATCCAACTAACACTTTCAAAAAATCTAACTTCTAATCTACTTAAAAAAACGATAGAGGTATGTCTTCCCCGATGAGTTACCCAAAAAAAAAAAAAAGGGTCTACTTGAATGATAGTCAATTTTAAGTGGAGTATACTATATAAAATATTTATACTCCAACATTATATTGTTGGCTATTTCATAGGTAATTCTATTATATACAATATTACTTAATTATATATTTTTTGGTGATTTTTTTTTTTCTTAAAAGATATTTCTGGCTAAAAAAATATGATTTTCGCCAAATTACTTTAAGTAAACTAAAAAAGCTTTTCAAAAAGATAAAGAGCGTACTTGGATGTACTCATTCATCATCATTATCATAATCAAAGCCTTTTTCCAACTATTTGGGGTCATCTGTATGAATCATGGTATGCCATTCTGCTTGATTAAGGGTGTGAGGCCATAAGTCCTCATATATTTTCTCACTACTTCCAACTATGTCCTTTTGAGTTTATCTCTTGTCATTTTGCCTTCCACTTAAACCAACTCACAACAGGTGATGTACTTTACCTG